GCATTTCTTCCATTGCTCATGGATAGTCACTCACAGATCAAGTCAAGGATAGTATTAGGTTCTTATACACCAGATAATAGCAAGGACTCTGCAGATGGCTGTCATAAACCACAAGCATACATGAAAATATCACAGTGTTTTCTATTGTCTATTTTGCCCCTTCCCAGGTGGTTGGTACCCAGCAAACATGTGTTAAGCTGGCATATTGATTTTTACTTTGTTTATTGGCTAATACAATCCAGCTTATTTCAAAAGCCTTATTATTTGGGCTCCATTTTCACAAAGAGGAAGTGAATTTGCATCTCTGTCCAATCCCAGATCCTGGCAAAATGGAACAACTCATTTCTAAGCCATTTAAGAGAGAGAGAGAGAGAGAGAGAGAGAGAGAGAGAGAGACAGACAGACAGAGAGAGAGATATTATGGCTTGAAGTTTGGCAGCTTGCTCTTTCAAAGTGACAGCTTTCAAAAAGTCTAGCTAACACAATTTAGCCTAATTCCAAACACATCGGAAGATGGGCTGTTAAAGAAAAAAAATCTCTCCTCAGGAGCCAGCTGCTTCTCTGTCCTCCTACTCACTCCCTAATAGGAAAAAAAGTGGATTATCTTCTCCCTAGGTTGTAAAAATATTCTTCTGAGAATGATTACACCTGTCACAGATGGAATCTTGAAATAAGTTAAATGTTTAGGTTCATATTCTGGGAATTCCCTAGTGAGCTGAAATCGCCATGCAATCTTTAGTAATATTATTACTAAGCTATGACCATTAATGCTATGCATGAAAAGTAGGTCTGTTTATGGTAAAAAGAGAAACAGGAAAAAAGGGCTCTTTCTCACATGTCTTTTGGATCCTTGAAATTTTAACATAGCACAATTAGAGTGATTAAAGACATCTTCTTCAGCAGTTGATTTTTAAATGGTTGCTATTAAGAGGTCCTGCACCTAAAATGTTTAAGAAGTATTCAGCTAGCTGCTTAGAAAGAGTTAGAATGAGAGAAACAAAACTTACCATCTCCAGGGGCTAAAGTCCCTCTGGTCTGCCTGTCCTATCAGCTAGGATATCTTCTCTCACCATCAGAATTACCTTTACAAACCATGACTCTGCTGTTTAGAATCTTCCATAAGTACCCCGCTATCTTGAGAATAAAAGTAAGTGAGGTGATCAAGGCCATGTAGTTTGATCCCCACCATTTTTCTCGTCTTTTTTGTCCTCACTACTTGACATACACTGTTCCCTGTGTTAAAAATGCATTCATCTGTCTGGAATATTCTTAGACCCAGCTCGGATATCCTATCATCATGAAGCTTTCGTCACTTTCTTCCCTACTCCATCACACCACAAAATATTCCTTTCTATTATGAAACTGCAATAAATCTCAGTTACACTTTTTATTGTACGGAACTGCAATGATCTTTTCTTTGTCAATTAGACTGAGAGCTTCTTGTGGTTAGAAACTGACCAGCGTGTTTCTCATGAACTGAGTGAAGGGATGGCAGCATCATTTCTTAAGCACACATTGACTACCTCTCTCCTTCTTTCACTAACCTCAAATCTAAAGAGTTTACTCTGCACCAAGGAGAGACTGACCCCTAACTGGTTAGTCCCTTGTTTCAAAGACTGGTGAAAAGGAGAAGAGGTCAGCTGGGAACAGATCCCATTATCTGAAAGCTACTAGATCCAACCTACATTTGGTTTTCCTAGATCCAGGCTCACTGTCTTGTTTGAATTCAATGTACTGACTGCTGCAAGTGATCACCTATCACTAACGACAGAGTCTAACAACTCTGAGAACAGAAAGCTGTCTTCTGCCACCTTACATTTCTAGCTACAGATAACTTGAGAGCAGGAAGGCTGCAGAGATATGTTGTAGAAATACCAACTCTGAGTGTAAAACAGTCTAATAGGAACTAATGCAAATCTCCACAGTCTGAGAAGAACTTCACAGACATTTCCTGGTTACAAGTGAGTACACAGGGGGACATTAAAGATCCCTAAAAGCACGCAAAGATGCCAGATGCCACCACTGGCTGGTCCCAACTCTGAGGTCCCAGTCTCCTCAACTATTTCAATTTTTTTCTTAAGTGGCATGACATGTGTGGGAGGAACCTTATAATGTGTTCATATATTTTGATACAGATTTTACCTTATTAGAAACATTTTTTTGAGATGGGGTTTGCTGTTATGCCCAGGTTAGCCTTGAACTCCTGGGCTCAAGTGATCCTCCTTTCTCAGCCTCCCAAGTAGTTGGGACTATGGTGTGTGCCACTATACTGAAATAATTGTTAACAAAATATTCACAGCCCTGGCTTAAGGGCTTAGATTATTTACTTTGTACATGGTATGGTCAGGACTTTTGTTATAGGGCAAACTAAAATGGAAACCATGGCATTTTCTTCCTTTTCCTCTTTTTGCCTCTCTGAGCTTCTCAGTAAGTTTCACAAGAGCAGCTTTTGAAAGAGAAGGGCTATCATTGAAAAAAATAAAGAAAGAATTGGGCATAGAGATTTGTGTTCCTGGAGCCAAATGAATCCTCCTGGGTAATCAGAGAAACAAGCTCCCCTGGAGGCCACTATTGGCCACTGGGTGAACTGCAAGAATAAGGCATTAAATGAAATAAACATGGACTAGGTCTTTCTAGCTAGTCCCTTAGCGGGGGTGAAATGGGGAGAACTTGATATATTCAGTGTCAGAAAACCTGCTTTTTGGAAAATGAAACTGAAATCTGAACTGTACAGGACAGCTTTCCTGTTCAGACAGCTTGTACACTGGTGTTTTTTTCTGCCCTACTCTTTTGGGACTTTACAGGTATGATTCTAGGTTCAGAGTCCTTATTCTTACAGCATGTAGCACTGACCTGTGTGAAAAATACTAAAAGGATGCTTGGTTTTGAAATCTGGAACTTGCTACTAATAATGAGATTATTAAGACACTAGGGATGATGAGTCACTCAATTTGCAATTGGCTGGCTGTTTTCATTCATTGAACTCATTCTATAAATAATCACTGGACCCTTGCATCCCTGTGCCAGGGCCTCTCGTGAATATCCCAGAGTGTCACTTGGGTTGTGGACAGATGATGACCAAGTAAATGATGACTAACTTTTCAAAATAATTCAATTAAACTATTCCCCACCTCTGCTTTTAAAAATAAATCTTTAAAAAATCTAAGATGATTTGAAAAAAAATAAAATGACCTGCTCAAGTTCTCAGACAATTTTGAAGTCTACTGGCAACATTTTGTTCAGATTCCAGATTTATGGGGCCTACCGTTGGCTCATGTCCCCTGTTGAATTGAGTGTTTACTGGATGCTCAATCAGTGACACCTGATCTTGGAGGATAGGCTCCTTTGCACGTTATTGGTCATGTGCTTGTGGGTCAGATGCTATGGCAGACACTATTCATCTGATCCTGCAGACAACCTGCAAAGTAGGAATTGCTTCAGCTTTGCTGATGGGGCACTGAGGTTTGGGGCACTCATATGTCTTGCCTGAGGTCCTGGAACAACCCAGCGAAACAGGGGCTCCTTTCTCCCCTGCACTGCCTGTGTAGAGGTTCATGCGTCTCATAACTAATCCTGGCAAAGGTGGCTATACCCCTTTCTCTTTCTCTTCCTACCATCCCCTTCTTCCAGGGCCCAGTGTCTTCCTTGCCAGAGAGAAACTGCTAGAAAACCGAATACTGCAAGGAGACCTGCTTGACAGTTTGGAGTCTGCAGGCTTTCTAGTTTTATATGCATTCTTTAAAAAAAGAAGGGCAGCGAAGCAGTAAGTATCACCTGTTTGCTTCAGTCCTCTGTTTCCTAACCTATAACACAGGGCTGAGATTATATGCCCCTTTTAAACTCAGGCCTACAGCTTGAATGGTGAGGTTTAGGATGGGGTCATCTAGCTGGGAGTTAGTTCAGAATGAGTTTGTCTTGGCCCCCCCCAAACTGTGCTATGCACTCAACTGCAGAAGCTCTTCCCTTCTGTGAGCCCCTTCCCCAAACTTGCAGATACCTCTGCACAATTTGATCTCAAGTCCTCTGGAAATACTCACACAATCAAGCCCGACTGCAACATCTGGGCAGTTTTCTTACTTGCTGGATTTGTTGCTAATCCACATTGTCCTTTCCCTTTACTACTGGAAGTCCTGCAACCATTGGTCTCCTTCTGATGAGGTCACTTAAGCACATAGCCACCTGGTGACTGTGTCTGCCCACCCCTGCAAGTGGCTGTTTTCTTCCCAATGGCAAACAACCTTCAGGAGCAAAATTGGGGTTGATGCAGAAATGCTATTACAGAAAGTGCTCCCAGGTAGATGCCATTCAAGGACATGAGCCTGAATGTCCCTGCTGTGGCCCAAGGGAATGGCACCTGGATCTCCAGCCAGCGCTGGCACCTGGGCCCTGTCACAGCTGACGGGGCTGACAGAAGGTCAGCTGGTGGCTGCAGCACCCAGAGCAGGTCCCTCAGGATCAAGCAGAGGCAAGAGGCAGAGGAAACAGTCTGCCTCTCCTGCTCCCCAGGCTGCTTGGGAGACAAATCGAGGGCTTCCATCTCTATTACTGTCACAATCTGGCACCTCTTGCCAGCTCTGAAATTCACAGCCATGGATGAAGGAGGGAGGAAGGAGAATAAAGGAGGTGCAAGACAGACAATCAAACATAGCCACAATATTTTTGGAAGTGGAATTGTCCAGCTAGAGAATATTCTCAAAAGCATAGAAGGGTAGGGCTGGGAGAGGCCTGCACAAACCCAGCACCTTTATTTTGTGCAGGGAACAGTTAAGAAGTAGAAAGACAGAGAGGCTTCCCTGAGGTTACGAGATCAGTAAATGGCAGAATTGGGACAAGGATCAGAGTCTCTGGTGCTTTTACAACTCAAAAGAGCATTTTGGAGTCCTTTCTTTAAAACTAGAGACTGGCTGGGCCATTGTTTGTGGAGGTCTGAGGAGACAGGGGATACTCTTGCAGCAGCTGCTGGGGAAGAGGGCTGGCCTGGATGCAGGGTGCTTTCTTACCTTGCAGGTTAACACCTCGGGGCACCAAACCCTGCAGCTCCTCCGTGGGAAGGTTGTCTTCCGCTGCATTGGAATTGTTGGGTGGGATGGCTCGCCTGCCCCCAAAGGTGGTCGTGGGAGTTTCTGACATTCTCAGCTTTACAAGGTCCTTGGGGAAAAGGGGTGGGGAGGAGACATGGAAAAGGAATGTGAAATGAGTTTCCTTTGAGACCAGGATTCAAAATAGAGAAGCAGACAAATGTGTGTGTGATAGCACTTGAACAACACATTTTGAGGTTTGCATAAATAAAAACTGAGATATGGCAGGAAGGATTAGCTTAATGATGGAATACAGTTCCCTGAGGGTCCTGGGGAGAGTTTGAGTTTGTCAAAACATATAGGAAGCAGAAAAAGGGTTATGTGAAGAAATGAAAAATGTAAACGATTTTAGAGAGCAGGGTTTTCCCTTCCCCAATCCTCAGAAGACAGTAACTTTGTAAGAATTACTGTCATATGTGTACCTGTGCCCATCTCATGGAAAATTATGAGGCTTAAGTCAACTCATGTAAGCATGTCTAGATAAGGACTGTCCTCTGAAGTGTTCACATCTGCAATTTAGTTCAATCAATGTTTAGTGAAGGCCCACTCTGTGCCAGGTTGTGACCTAGGTATTTGGAATAGTACATGAGAGAGGAAAACAGGATTTCTACACACAGCACTTACAATGAAGTGGGATAAGTGTGACAAGAGTCATAAGTACATCCAGTTGCGTGTGAGGTGCCAACTGCTTTGGAAACAGAACCTCATGGAGGGGTATAAGCGGGAAGGCTATGGAGAGATTGGTGGCAATTTTAAGTCGGGCTATCAGTAGGCTGTTCTCTAACATACTTGGTCAATGGCGCTGACACTGCCCTTGCTCCAGCCTGGAGTTTGTGCAGGCGGAGAGCCAGTCTAAACACCACACACCTTCCCTCAGTGCCCAATAACTACTTGTTGACCAACTGACCAAATGAAGGGGGACTTTGTTTCTGGACCTTGATTATCTGGTCACCTAGTCATGACTTCTGGCAACCTGGCTGTTTTCAAACCAGTTCCACCCTCCAAGATGGAGAATAACCATTGTAGAATCAGTTAGATTAGACTTGCACATCAAGGCTGAGGTCAAGAGAACCACTTGGTTCTGGAAGGAGGGGGGAGGGCTTGGAAGGATAAGATGTGAATAGGTATCCATAAGTACCTATAAACACACTTACAGAGCCTCAGTGACCTGCAGCAGGGAGGGAGGAGACAGAAAAGCTTTCATGATGGAGAGGAGGCAGGAAAAGCAGTTCTGGATGGAAAATAGTAAAGGCAGGCTGTGGGATTGCTGGGGAGGGCAGGGTTTGGGAAGAACAGACAGAGCAGCCCGTTGGGAGGGAGAACAGGTGAAGTGGCTAAACCATGCTGTGTCCCAGGTGCAAGCCAGCTGGCGTAGGGGCAGGCCTGGCTGAATGAGTGCAGGCCAGAGCTGACCTTCTGGACAGGTCTGGGGCAGTCAGAGTTCAAGGGTCAAGTTCAGCTCCTGCCTTGGGTTGGGGGAAGAGATGTAGAGTGGGGCAGAGACTGCTGGAGATTAGACAAGCAAGGGGTCCTACCTGGCTCTGCCCTCTGCCTCAACACTTTGTGTTTCTCATTCTGCTTCTTAGCAATGCCCTCAGGATAACTTCGTGGAATACCTAAAGGAAGCGCTGCTCAGAAATGAGGCTGAACAGGGCAAAGTCAGGGGGGAAGAGCTGGAAATGAACCCCCCATTCTGGAGCAACTGAGGGCTTGCAGGAAAGCCAAGGTGCAGGGGGTCAGCTGCAGTCAGCCACAGGGTCCAGGGTGCAGGGCTGTGCCATGCAGCTGGGCTGCTTACCTGAGTGTGCTCCCTGCCCGACGGGCCCTAGTTGACTGGCTCTGTGTGTCTGGGTACTTCCTCAAAAGGACACAGGAAAAAGGATCAGAAAGTTCGCCTTTAAATAACTTCCTAACAGCTCCCACCCTCCTCCCAGTTGCACAGGGTTTTCTCCTCCCCTTCTTGACAGCTGAAGCACTCAGAGCAGCTTCTAGGAGTTTCCATTTACTTCTGCCATCCTGCTCTGTTATTCAGAGCACACACCCTCTCCCAATACCCCTCTTGCTCCTATTCCTACATCTCCTTACCACCACCCTCCCCAAGTTGTGCCTCTCTTCCTCCTCCTTTGGCTGCTGGGGTAACAGGCAAATGGCCCTGAAGTGCCTGGCAGTCCCCTCCCCTCCTGTTGTGAGAGGGCTGGAAGGGTCTTTCACAAAGGCATACTTTTGCCATGCAGGTTGGCTGGTGCACTTGGCAGAAGGGAGGGTCTGCCCTCTCTTAGACAGGTCACACAGACAGTTGTGACCATGCATAAGCAAGATCAACGTGTCCCTGTTGTGCAAATAAGGCAGTCCTCTTGAATCACCCACAGAGCTTCAGCCACAGCCAAACCACAAGACTTCCTGCAGGCCAGAGATGCCGATGCCCTGCTGGGAGAGATGAGTAAATACCTTCAAGACAGCATGTATATTAGAAAACAACACTTTACTTTTTCCCTGAAAACCACCTTGGTATATTTAAAAAAAAAAAATAGAGAAAAAATTTTTAAAAAGTTTTCTCCTAAAATTTTCCATATTTTTGTTTCAGTCTTTGTGTCTCTAACACTCCTATCTTCAATTGTGGCTATTTCTAGCTTCCTTTACTGTCTTCAGTTGTCTGACTTTGCCACTTGACTCCTCAATATATATATATATATATATAGAGAGAGAGAGAGAGAGAGAGAGAGAGAGAGAGAGAATTCGAGGAATAGGAATTCTCTCATTTTTTTTTTCAACCAAATCTATGACCATCCTTGCACCTTCCCTGACATTTCCCTCTTTCCTCCCGTTACTGAAGTGGAAAATGTCTCTCCTAACTCCTGCTTGTCCAAATCAAGAGCTTTGGGTCCCTTTGTCCTGTTTCATGTCACTTTCTTCTCAGGGGCTTTGCTATACCTCCTAATAACTCTTCCTCCTGTCTTCAAGCTCCTCTTCCATCACAGCTGCTTCCTGTCAGCATTGACACAATTTCAAGTCAAGTCCCTTCAATATTTTTAAAGGCTTCCTTCAATCCACATCCCTCCAGCTATTAATCTCTCTCCTCTCCTCTATACCAAGCTTCTGCCATCTGGCTTCTACCCTCCATCATTCTACTAAACTGTAGGTTTAGGTCCTTGTCTTGGTGCGTTTTGTTATTATAACAAAATGCATGAGACTGGGAAATTTACAAAGAATAAAGGTTTATTAGTTCATGGTTCTGGAGACTGGAAAGTCTAAGAGCATAGCACTTAGCATCTTCTTAGCTTCTGGAAAGGACCTTGTGTTGCATCTTAACATGGCAGAAAAGCATAAGGGCAAGTGGAGATATTCAGAAAAGAGAAAGCAGGACACAATCTATAGGGGAAAAAAAATTTTCATGGTAATTAATCCAGTCCCGTGAGAACACTAGTCATCACTTAAAGGTTCCATCTTCTCTCAATGCTGTCACACTGAGGACCAAATTTCACATTAGTTTTGGAGAGGTGAACCATATCCAGACCTTCACACTCTCCAGGGGGCTGTGCTTAAACCAAAAAACAGGATTCAGTTCTCATTCATTTAATCTCTTGGAAGCACTGAAGTCAACTGCCCACTTTCCCCTGAAAGTCATTTCCCATGGCTCCCGGGACACTGCACACTGCTGTTCCCTCTGTGCGGCATACTGCTCCTTAATCATCTTAGCTCTCTGATGCTTTTCATTGTCCATCTGTATCATGACTTTTCCCAAATCTAACTCTCTAGCCTTGGCCTTTTCCGGACCTATAGACTCCTCCAGCTAACTGCCTGCTGGCCACCTTTACTTGTCACCCCTGTGACAGCCCACTCTCATCATCTCCAAAATGAGACAGTTTCTCCTTAAGATCAAATGCACCTCGGAGTCCCCCTCTCCATCAATGCTAACATCTCACACACAGTGTTGACACTTCTTTCTTTCTTCTCTTCTCTCTCTCTTTCCCTCCCTCCCTCAAATTCAATCCTTCTAGTATTTTCTATGCTACCTCTTAAATATAGCCCTAGACTCTTCCTATGTACCATTTCTGATCCATTCTCCACAATGAGCTTGGCAGGGCTCAAATCTGAATTCAAATTCTCTAACAGGACCCTTCTATGCTACTTAACTGTGCTTTTTAGGGTAAATTTCATACATCAACTGACACAGCTCTGTATAAGCCAGACCCTACTCTACGGTCCAGTCCCATCTCTTTCATGTTCTCTGACCATGTTGTCTTGCTCCCTTAACCCACCTTTGCACTTTGCTCCAACTATCATGAACATCTTATCCTGTGCTTCTTGCCAGAAACACATTCTTCTCACCTCTCCTCCCCTCGCCACAAGATCATATCCTGTTGAACCTCCAAAGTGTGACCTAAATTGCTTGGATACCCAGGACCTTACTCCTCACCTTGTAAGGTCATTTTCTGTTTCTTTGGCTGCACGCCCCCCACTAGATAACAAAGGGTAAGGACTCTGATCAGAGATCCCCAGAGAAAGGCAGCTGACCACTTAGCTACCTGAAGCTCATCCTTTCCATAATCTTTGCTGAGTACTAGGGAAAGCACCAAGTGAAGTTGTCACCACATTCTGGTAGCTCTCCTGCCTATCAGGAAGCCCAAGCAGCCAGGATTTGGACTCCCTCACTCATGTGAGATTTGGGGAAGTGTGGCCACCCTTGCACCTTTTATATTAGATTGCATAGGTGTCAACCCTCTGGTTAAGTTTGCCTTCGGGATAGGCTTGTTGCCCTCACAACTACCACCACAATGCCACCTTTGACGGGAGACATGCACACAGATTGGTTGGCTTTTGAATGCTCCTCAATCCACAAACCCAGTAGCATTCTAAATGCTACTTTAGCAGTCACATGAGCATCAGAGGCACCAAGTCCTAGCACATAGTTGAAGCCCATTCATCTTGGAGCATTGCCTCAGGTCCTATGGCATAGAAGTCAGAGCAAGGGATTCTGGTCATGCATAAATTGTGACTTCTGCAGAATCATCCTGGGTACAGAGACTCTGAGGTCCCTAAAATGGGGGGGGGAGGTGTTCACATATATCTGAATGCCCTTTACCAGGCCTGGAAGTGACATGGTGAAGGAATTTAAGGAATGTAGCAGGTCCGTTCAAGCCAAGAAACCAAAAACCACTTTAGGTGTTTTTTTAAAAACAGAATTTATCACAGGGGATAGAAGAGACAAGAAGTCATACAGCAGAAGGTGAATCAGCTCCACAATTAGTAATGGAGTAATTGCTGTCACCACAGGTCAAAGGATGAGGTTATGTGGCAGACCTGGAATCCCATGGGCCTGTCTGGTGAGAGCGTAAGATCCAGTCATTACACAGTCTGGAGTCAAGAGGGAGGGAAGAACTTCCCCAGCTGTCCCTTTCTTCCCCATCCACTGTTCCTCTGTTGCCTTCCATCTGCTGAACTCAGCTAAAAATCAGTGGGGCAGAGGAGCCTGAGAAGCAGTCAGAACCACTCCTACGTAGAGTGCCCAAGAACACCTGCCAGTTCTATGGTTCTCTAGCAGGACACAGCAGACCAAGACATCCTCGTGGCTATGATTTACTACTGCAAAAAGATCCAAGTTAAAAATCAGCAAAGGGAAGAGGCCCATGGCCAATGTCCAGAGGAATCCAGGCAGAGGCTCCCAAGGGTTCTCTCCCAGTTTCTTGCACAGATGTGCCCAACTCCCCTGTAGTGACTTTTGACCACATGTATGTCATGCTGTCTGCTAGGGAAGCTCAGTAGACTCTGTGCCCAGAGTGTTACCTGGGGCTGGTCATGTAGGCGCCCTCCACTTAGCTCATATCCAAATTCCAGATTCCCAACAGGGAAGTAAATACTCAAGGTAAACCATAGTTTTTGTAGGATTGGGGCACAGTGAACCACTCTTGTCAGTTAGGGAAAGGTGGGAAGTTTCCTGACGCCTAGATCCCAGGTGCCAGCCAAAGGCCACCTTGCAAGCAGGCTTTTCTGAGGCCAGTCCTAGGCCTTTTGCAACTCTTTCTGCACTAGTCCTTCCCCATCGCTGAGTAGAGCAGGTGAGGATGGCAGTTGGGACATAAGAACAGTGGACTTTCAACACATGTGGCTGACTCCTCATTCTCCAGAGAAAACTCCAGTGGGAAGGCCACTGGTGCGATTCAGTTCTGGCCACACTCCTGGCTTCTTGGGGTCAGAAAGGAAACTCTAAAGAGACCTGTACCCCTCTGCCCACATGGGCCATGGCACACCTTTCATTCTTCCACAGCTGAAGGGCCACGATCCCAATGTCCTGTTGGCTAAAACTTGAAAAAAGCTGCAGTGTGCACCTCATTGCCTCAAGGGTCAGGTGACAATGCCCCAACATGTCACTTTGGGACTTTGGCTCCCATCAGAAATACGTAGCAACCTTTGGAGTTATGAGCAAACAGAAGCTGCAGAGAAAGAGGTAAGGTTTCCTTACTTTTATCCTTTTATTCTGTATTTCATTTTATTTTATGGTATTGAAACTCTTTTCTTTAAAGAAACCACCACTTTGTCTTACTTGGCAATACCCAGGAAGCAGACTGTATTTTCTCAGGCAATGAATGTTCCAGAAAACTATTTAATTTACATGCAAAATTTCACATCTCAAACAAACAAACAATGAACCCAGTCATGTCTGGTTCCTACTGCTTTCCTCCAGCTGAACAAGACCTGGACTTTGTTTTTGTTGGTTGTAGATGTAGTTCCAGAGGGAGGTGAGTGGATATAAATAAAAACTGGCCTTTTAACAAGGCGCCCAACCCTCTGACATGAAGGATCAAAATCCACCCCTTGGGAGGGCCTATCTCCTCCATTGCCCTTGATGCTGTCAGAGTTGGA